ATTGTTGTCTTTATTTAATCATAAGATGGCCATAATATTTATTTATGCATATAATTATATAATAAAATTATATATAATAAATAACATATCAGATATTATCACTTTAATAATTATGGTTGTGTTATTTATTATTTTCAGATTACAGTAAAAAATAAATAATTTGGTGAAATTGATTCTGTTTGTGATTATTTCGATTATGTCCTTCTTTTTTTGTACATCACGTGATTATAAATTGTCCAATAATCTTTAAATATTTTAATAACAAATGACCAAATGACAAAGGACGCAAATGACAGTCAAATGATACCCAATCATTTGGCATTTGTCATTTCGTGAATAATTCAACCAAATGACTCCTAATCCGAAAAATGGTCAAATGACCAGGTCATTTCCGAACACTGATTTATGTATATCCAATATTGATTCTGTTTTATCAGATCCAAGATTAGGAAGAAGGCCAATAATAACAGAAGAAAATTTCGGCGATGGGACCTAATAATTATGTGATTTAAGTTATCAACTGGTATTAACCCTAATGAATTATTAATCTCAATTTTAACTTACTTGTAATATATATGCTCTCACATATTTGGCAACAGCATTATTTTCTTTAATTTTATTAATTGTGATTGAAATATCATCATATGTATTAATATTTGTTTCATTATTTGAAAATGTAGAGCCAATAATACATCCCATTTGTGATGAATATCGAAGACGAGGTCTTAATTTAGTATTGTCTGACATGGTCGCAATTGGCCTATTATAACCAACAGAGTCCAAAAATCGTTTGAACCAAACCACATTTTCAAAACAGAGAGTTGGATTTGTTAGCATGTCTTCAGAATTAGAACGCAAACGCCTAAAAGTAAGAAATCGTTGTTATAACATATGTAATATATTTATTATACAATAAATATATGTTTTCATACCTAATATTTTGAATTGTTAACCCCTCTAGATTTTGCCGGAATAAATCTAATACACGAGGACTATAGGTACCAAGAATCACAAGAAAATTTTTAAACTCCTCGTTATATTTCAAATTTCGTGTAGTTATATTTTTTTCTTTTCGAATTACAGCTTGTAGCATGATATTACAAAGACCCTCAAAAACTGGCTTTTTATCAAAAGCACCTTAGATTCCTTTTTCTGCCAATTTTAGCCAAACATCAGATACTATATTGGATTCGTTATCTTTGATTATTGACCAAATGATAGTAAAGTCAGAATACTTCAGGTAATTTTTTAGAGGGTCATTTTCGAAATAATGTTTTGGGGTATGTTTTAGCTTTGAAGTGAGTGGTTTTACTATAGCAATTCGATTTTGTAAAATTTTATTATATTTTAAACTAAAACACTCATTACAAATCGTTTGATTAGTATATCCCTCACATTTCATAGAACGAACACAATTACCTTGATTGAATTAATAAAAAATAATTAATCAAAACTTTCTTGTATTATTATACAACTAAAAACAGGGTTGACTTACAATCACGATCAATTTTCCATACTGCTTCTGCATATAATTGACGATTCAACCAACATTTTTGTGAACAATCCAATTTCTTACGTGAAAAATTTTTTGGAAAAAGATTTGGAAAAAGTTCCTTTGCAATAACTTCAACTCTTCTGGTTCCACCAAATTGAGCAGGAGTACGACTGACATATTTAAAGATAACATTAGATCTAAGTCCAGGACAAGGTTTTCGTTTATTTTTTGATGAGGTTATCATATCATCATCACTTAAAATTTCATCTTCACAATCAGTTTCCACATCACTTATTTCGTCAACATTAAACAAATCATCGTCATCCATTTTTTCATCATCATCACTTTCCCATTCTTCAGCACTGCTAACATCATCATTTTTAATTTTTTTTGATTTAGAAACTGGTTTAAAATAATTTAGGATTGACTGAACTCCTTGCTTAGCCAAACATCCTTTACCGTCAACATGAATATTTAAAAAAGTTTCATCATAGCGATGACTCAGTTTGATAGCTTTGCCACAACAACAAATAACTTTTTTCATTCGAACAATATGAGCACAATATGGATGTTTTGCAAGTCTCTCTTTACTATATTTCCAAGGTAGTGGCATTTTTCAAGAAAAATGTATAATAAATTTTTTTTTTTCTGATCCATTTTTTTTTATTTTTACAGTAAGACAAGTAAGACAATAATCGTAGAATTAGAGTATTGTAGTGAACTTGTATAAACAAATCCCCTATTCGTAAACAAAATCCCCTATTTGTAAACAAATCCCCTATTCGATCTATAATTTTTGAAAAGCGTGTGAATTTTTTTTAGATAAATGTTTATTTTATTTCGCTTTATATATACATATATATTTATTTATTTATTATATAATACTTTATACAAAATAAAATCTAACTTGCTTTAAAAATCATCATTATTATACAAACAAATATCTGACTTATCGAATAATTACCAATTGGCTATACAAATTCAAACACATGACTTATCGGAAAATTACATAGTAAGTCTATACAAAATCGGATCCCAGTATTATATATAATGTTCGGGGTCCTAGTGTAGTTAGATAATGAGTGTATTTAATGTATTGTACTATATATATAAATAAATTTACAATATTTTACGATTAATAAAATTTTTGTTAATAAATTTATCATACGATAACTAAAAAATACCATTGCTATACGTGTTTTTAATATCAATATACATGTTTTTATACATTATATACACGTTATTAAACTAGTGTTGTTTTACTGTATGTTGTTTTACACATAAAACACTGTTGCACTACGTGTTTTTCAACATTTTTAAGTGGTGTTGATTGACAAAGAGTTCATATCTCTACACTTTTTGGTGTTGAACAACATATGGCGTTTTTCAACACTTTATACGTCTGTTTAAAACTTGTTGATGTCACAGGATATCTCGGCTGCTTCCAAATTACATGGCCCCTCCTCAAATTCTCCTACTACTACTACTTCTTCACAATTGCACAACTCTTCTTTGGTGACAGTTTCTTAGAATTCCTGGATTTCTTGGATATCCTCTTCTATAATTCGGGGTGGATCATAGATCTTGCACTTGGATTTTCTGCGCCGCTTAACAGTTCAACCTCTTAGGATTTCTTTCTGATAACGGACTGGATTTTTGGATGTTGGATAGTTGACTCACACTGGCCTTCGGGTAAAGTTGGGGTATGCGATTCTGTAATAATTTAGTTTTCTTTGCTTTAATTTTATTTTAATTTAGATTTCTTTATTTGTATGAGTCGTGAAGCTACTTTTTATTTTTTATAAGTTTATTTTCTTATTTTTGTAATATTGTTCGATCATTCTTTCGAAATTAAAATATAAATAAAAGATAAAGTCAAAAGACTGTTTGCACAGGAAAAGGATAAAACTACCACCATTCGATTCGTCTCAATGAGACGATTCTAACAAGCTATAATACATCTTTGTACGATTATTAGATGCCAAGTTATTTAATATATTCTTTATATAACTGTGATTATAAATGGTTCTTTTTAATATAAAATTTTTGAGGATAGGTGTGATAGTGACTATAGATAGATTGTGACTATATAGGATAGATTTTAATAATAAAGTGTTTTGAACATTCAACTGGTATGACTATATAGTAGAATGTGACTATAACGGGAATGACTATAGAGGGAGTTGACTGTATATGCAGGATTTCACTTAGCAAATCTCTAACATCACCTTTTTCACCATAGTATTGATAATCTTTTATGCTAAGTTCCTGGATATTGGGATAAGCTTGTAGCATTTTTACAATACAGATGGGCCATAATTTTACTTCATCTATATTAAGCTTTCTGATATATTTTCCGCATACTGTTTCTGGTTTTGTAAGATGTTTATACATTTGGAACTCCTTCACATTATAGCGGTTATAAAGGTCTACTTCACCCCATAGGAGAGAGTTTGCTACTATAGCCCATTTTCGACACACTAAAGCATATTTTTGAAGATAATACCAACGGTAGTAAATGCCTTCATATGTAGTTTTGAATATCTTTTCTAAAAGTTCAGAAGGTAAGCTATTATTTGTCATGGTATCTCATATAAGATATTGATGAAGAAATTTTATTTAATTAAATTTTTTCTTAGAATAAGATAATTTGAACATTTCTTTTCTTTTAATAGAAAAACTAGATATGATTACTTTTAGTGAACTTACTCCATCTCTTACTGTTACTGAGTTTATAATCAATGTTGAAGGGCTTGATTACACAGTGCTTGGTAATAAGCTTGAACCTACTAAGGATGTTATTGCCATTAATAGCAACTTTATTCATAAAGCTTTTGAGGGTTAAAATAGATGGTGACGTACAGAGGATGGTAGTACTTTTAATGCATACATTGAGTTTGTTATCATCTTAGCTGATACTGTACATACTATTCGTTATTTTCCTAAATCTGGTAGTATACAAGTTTTCGGGTCTTTTAATCCTGTTGCTATCTTCTTACGTTATCTTTCTGAATGTTCTCTACCTGAGTTTTCTTCTGTAGAACTTGTGGGTGAAAATAAGGCTCTCCTACGCAATTATAAATTTGTGATTAATATCGGGAATGATAAGTTTATTAATCTTTCTACCTTAGCATATGCTTTAGAGTCTATAGATGGATTCGTGAGATTCTCCCCTTTCTGATAAAGTATATTAAGAATGATGCGGATGATATTCATTCTAAAATTACTATAGTCTTCACTTTAAAGATTCGGGTACATATTTGGCCTAAATCTGGTAAGGTTAATATATTTGGCACTAAGACTGAATTGGATGCTAATATGGTTTATAAATTCTTATAGAAGTTGTTCTTTAATCCATATGATTTTGAGGATTTTATTTGTGATGCATCTATTCCAGATTGTGAGAGGTAAAAAAATGGTTTCACTGAGAACTAACAACCCTCTATTTGTAAAATCCAGCAATCACATTTCTAACTTTTTGTTGGCATAAGACATTCATCACATAGAGTTATAGCCAACTCATTTTTTAACCTATCCAGTTAACTCTCAGTAGTCGGTGCAAGATTCTGGTAGTATTCATTGAATTCATTCTGCTCTTCTTCATCTATGTCTTCATCTATGTCTTCATCTGTGTCTTCATCCATATCTTCATCTTCTTTAATATGGTAGATGCTGAATTCATTTCTATATTCATCATTAAGATGTGTGAATATTCTTTGTATATTGTAATCTATAATGTTGAATGTTGTAGGTTTCTTTTTTGATAATATTTCTACTAAATCTAATAATGCATATGCTAATTTTTTATTCTCTGAGAAGTTCTTAATGATATCTGAAAATCTTTCATATATTGCCATCTCATCTGGTAGAATAGAATATCTTACTCGTGATAAAAGTCATAGATGTATCCATATATCATCACCTTCTAACATCTCATCAAATATTTCTACTAGCTCTCCTATTCCAGATACTAACATACTTTCTTTGCTAAATTCAGAATCTAAAGTTTTTAAATATGCTATATCTAAATACCACATTATTTCCTTTACCCATTCTTCTATGTTGAGTTCAAACTAACCTAGTATACGTCTTAGTAATGGTCTTAAACTTTTTATATATGAATCTTTTATTCAATTACATTTTTTCTCAGTATAAGGGTAATTGCTTGCTTTGCTATTTCCGCTCTATTGACTTCAGGGCTAGTTTCCTGGATGGGTTAATATTTCCTTACCTTTTTTGGCTCCATTGGCTTTGAAATCCTATTTCTTGTTCGGTTGGGTGTAAGTAGGTGAAAATATAAATGGGTGATATAGATTATGAAATAAGTAGGATATAAGTGAATTAGATTATGAGATAAGTAGGATATAAGTAGGTAAAAATATAAATTGGTGAATTAGATTATAAAATAAGTAGGATATAAGTAGGTGAAAATATAAATATGTGATTTAGATTATGAGATAAGTAGGTGAGCCAGAATTGGGGTTTTTATACTACTAGAAGCTGGTGGATAAAACGTAGAAGAAAGTGGTGGTGATAAAAAAGAGAGAGAAAGTGAAGGTGAAGAAGCAGCAGCAGAAATTGAAATTCAGGATGATTTCAATTCTAAAGAAGCAGCAGCAGAAATTGAAGTTCAGAATGATTCCGATTCTAAAGAAGTAGTAGCAGAAATTGAAATTTGGGATGATTCTGATTCCGATATAGATGAAGATTTAGAACATCAACTCTTAGATTTATTTTGTAAAAGATATAAAAAAACAGGCGAAACAGATAGTAATAAGGATGAAGAATTAGAATGCAATCTTATACATGAAATAAGAAGTAAGTACAAGCGTAAAAAGAGGAAGAGACAACTACTACAACAAAAAAAACTACAACAACAACAATAATAAAAACAGCAGCAAAAAGAAAAAGAAAAAGAAATTGAAGAAAAAGAGAAAAAAATACAAGAAAAAGAGAAAAAAATAGAAGAAAAGAAAAATTAAACAGCGACAAGTAATAATTTTTCTGTATATTAATTAATTAATTTAAGTATTAAAAATAACTTATTTTTATCATTTTTTCTTAAGAAGATGGATGTACCTTATGCAAAAGAACAGTGACGGCCAATAAGACCAATAAAAAAGCGAGGGCCAATAAAAAAAAACAATAAAAAAAATAAAAGGTAAATAACCTTACGCAAAAGGACAGTGACAGCCAATAAAAAAGATAATAAAAAAATAAAAAATAAAAAGTAAATAGTTAAACATGTTTGTAATAAATAACTCATTTTTATAAAAAAAATTATTAATGAACTGAAATAAATAATAATAGTAATTTTTATATTTAATTGGCTTTTGAACCTTAAGAAAATTCGTGAGAATTTTTCTTATCAGGATTTCAATTTACTTAAACTTTAAAATGAGCAGTATCAAGAAAAATTCGTGAGAATTTTTCTTGAAATTGTGATTTTAGTTTACTAATCAGTCTTTAAACTTTAAAAATAAGCGGTATCAAGAAAAATTTGCAAGAATTTTTCTTGAAATTGTGATTTCAGTTTGCTAATCGGTCTTTAAACTTTAAAATAAGCAGTATCAAGAAAAATTTGCAAGAATTTTTCTTGAAATTGTGATTTCAATTTACTAATCGGTCTTTAAACTTTAAAAATAAGCAGTATCAAGAAAAATTCGCAAGAATTTTTCTTGAAATTGTGATTTCAATTTATTGGTTAGTATCTCTAATAGTCTCTGGATTCTTGTTTTTTCGTTATTAATTTCTTCTTTTTATATGTGGGGCTCAACTATTTTCAGATTTTAACAACTGAACTATCAATCTAATCGCTCGCGACTTGACTGTTTGGCATTATAACAAGCAAATTTTATTATTTTGAATAAAATTAAATCTATACCATAATAGATTAATAGATGTTGTAATGCAATTTCGAGTATATTATTATATTTTACAAAAATTTACATATCTACAATATCGGCATAAATGGCAGATAACTGGATATATATATATATATCATGTGATTAATTGCTAATTATTCATAGATTATGGATAATTATCACATGGATGCCGATCATTTGTTTGTTTTTGCATGCACGCAAATGATATACAGTAAATTGGAAAAAATACAAACTGTTTCTCTTTTACTCTTTATTCTTTATTTTGCTTTTTACTTGAAATATTATCTCAAATATTGCACTTATTTATTTATTTCATTTTTTTATAGAAGAAAATTTTAAACGATACCAAATAAAAGGTTGCCTAATAGATATAGAAAGAAATAAATTTCACAAAAAGAAAATATTTAATGTTTATGAAGTAATATTTTTTTAAACTTAAATATAATTAATTGTATTATTCTTTATTACTAATTTTTTATCTTGTTTTTTTGAACTTTTCTAAAATAGATTTATTTATAATTTAATAAAATAGGTACAGTTACTTTTATTTTTGGTCTTTATGATTGCTATTAATTGTATCACTACTAATTGTATCTTTTTTTTTATTATTACTAATTGTATCTTTCTTTCATCGCTACTAATTGTATCTTTCTTTTATCGCTACTAATTTTTTATCATTACTAATTTTCTTCTTTTTATCACTATTAATTTTTCTTCTTTTTATCACTACTAATTATATCTTTCTTTCATTGCTACTAATTTTTCTTCTTTTTATCACTACTAATTGTATCT